AATCAATAAGTGGGATGGAGTCAAACCTAAATGCTTCTTCATAGGAAAGGAAATCATTAATAACATGAAGAGAGAGCCTACAGAATGGGAGAAAATCTTTACCACATGCACCTCAGATAGAGCATTAATCTCCAGGATATACAAAGAACCTGAAAACTCAACACCATAAATACAGATAACCCACAGTAAATGGGCAAAGGAACTGAACAGACACTTCACAGAAAAAGAAGTACAATCAGTCAACAAATATATTAAAAATGTTCAACATCTCTAGCAATTAGAGAAATGCAGATCAAAACCACATTGAGGTTTCAGCTCACTCCAGTCAGAATGGCAATCACAAAGAATAAAAGCAATAATAAATGTTGGTGAGGATGTGGGGAGAAAAGGTACACTCATATGCTGCTGGTGGGACTGAAAATTAGTGCAACCACTCTGGAAAACAGTATCAAGATTCCTAAGAAAACTTGGAATGGAACCACCATTTGACCCAGTTATCCCACTTTTAATTTTATACCCAAAGGACTTAAATCAGCATACAACAGTGATGCAGCCACATCAATATTTATGGCAGCTCAATTCACAATATCTAAACTATGGAACCAACTTAGATGCCCTTTAACAGATGAATGGATAAAGTAAATGTGATTTATATACACAATGGAATATTACCCAGCCTTAAAGAAGAATGAAATTATGGTATTTGCAGATAAATGGATGGAGCTGGAGAATATTATGCTAAGTTCAAGATGTCAATCCCAAAGAACCAAAGGCTGAATGTTTTCTCTGATATGTGGATGCTAATTCATGATAAGTGGGTGGGGGGAGGAGCTAGGGAAGAGCAGAGTTACTTTGGATTAGACAGAAGGGAGGAGGTATGGGGTTAGAAAGGATAGTAGAATGATTCAGATATTATGGCCCTATGTGCATATATGATTATGTGACTTATGTAACTCAACATCATGTACAAACAGAACAATGAGAAGTCATACTCCATTTATGTATCATGTATCAAAATGCATTCTACTGTCACGTACAACTAGCTAGAATGAATTAAAAATTTGAAAAAAAATAGAACATGAGTTACAGAAAGACTAGTTAGACATTAAGTAAAATCCATAAAGGAGAAGACTTGGTAAATTGTTCTATAATAATTCTAACATCCTCTGGTAATAAAAAAAAAAAAAACAGGAAAAGGACAAAGGTAAGCCATATAGCAGAAGGAAATCTAGTTGTGCGTCCCTAGTGACTTGTTGGTCAATGATGGACCACATATGCAGTGGTAGTCCCATAGAACTGTACTGGAAAATTCCTTCTAGCCAGTCATAGCATCATCCCAACACTGTAGCAGAATGCACTGCTCATGCATTACACTGTGGCAGTACTGATGTAAACAAAACCTGCCACACTGACAGTCATTTAAAAGTAGGGCACCTACAATTATGTACAGTGATAATTGATAATAAATGACTGTTGTTGGTTTATGTATATACTATGCTATGCTTTTATCATTATAAACCTTCTCCTTGTAAAAATATTTACTGAGAGTATGCTGTGCTACACACTGACTGCCAGCCACCTCATGCATCTTGCATTTACCATGTTTCTTTTTTTGGGGTGCCAAAAATTGAACCCAAGCTTCTTAACCACTGAACCATATCCCCAGCCTTTTAAATTTTTCATATAGGATCTTAGTTGCTTAGGACTTCACTAGGTTGCTGAGGCTGGCTTTGAACTTGTGATCCTCCTGCCTCAGTCTCCCAAGCTGCTGGGATTACAGGCATATGCCACCAAACCCAGTTTATCACATCTCTTGATAGCATTGTTTTCTCTTGTGTTTGATGTGATCTTGTGTTGTGTTGTTTTATTTATCATGGCTCTGAAAGCAATAGGCTATACTACACACACACACACACACACATCATATAGACAAAGTGTATAATAGGCTACATAGGGTCTAGGTTGCTATAAATATATTTGATGATGTTTGCACAATGACAGAATCAACTAAGGACACATTCCCCAGAACATCCCCGTTGTTAAGTGAAACATGACTGCATTGTTGCAAGTTTAACTTCCAAAGGATTTCTTCAAGTTAATTAAGAAAATGACAACCAAGTAGAAAACGGAGCAAGAGACTTCAAAGGACCAATATATATATATATAATCAAGGAAAATTACATTAAAATCACAGTGCATTAGGCTTGCATACGTTAGAAAGACCAAGATGGAAAAGATAGGCCCACAATTTCAGTGAGGTGTAAATTGGTAGAACAATCATGCACTACAGAAAAAAATAATTTTGGATGGGTACACCCACTTGGGAAGACAGATTGGCACAATTTATTAAAACCAAAGTTGTGAATAAGGCAGGACCCAGCAAATTCACCCCTGGCTACATCTTTAACAGAATGCACAGATGTGTGTATCAAGGGACAAAGAATGATAGTAGTCATTGCAGAAGTGCTTGTGACAGCCCTAAACTGAAAATAACCCAAACGTACATGAGTAACAAATCTACTCATAAGGTGTAGTGCTAGGTAGGAATGATCTCCAGCTAAGTGGTGAGCACTAACACCAGAACACTCACTCCGTGATTCCATTAAGATAAAGAGCAAAATCCAGCAACAAGAAACCCTATTATTTAGTTGCTAAGGGAAAGCAAGAAAGCGATCTCCATAGTTGGGATAATGGCTACCTTTAGGGGCAGGTCCCGGAAGTAGCAATATCATCCTCCCAACCTAGGTCCTGATTACACAGGTATTTACTTTGTGATAAATATCTTGGTTCTGCGCATTTTTCTGATTGTGTCTTATATCTCACAATAAAAAGAAAAAGATAAAAGGACATTTTGCACCAAATCACCACACGATAAAGCCTTCCAGAAACAGCCTCACTTGGCTTCCCACAGTCCACGTCACACACACACTCAGTGTCGACATATAGATGTGCAGTCCAATGAGAGTCGTGTGTTTACCTTCTGGACCCTGCCTCTCATAGCTGATCACGTCTCATTCAATTTTAGTGCACGAAGCCGAGCACCGATGCAGACATTTGGGATGCAGCCACAAGCCTTTCTATGAGTTGAATTTCCTTTGGGATTTATTAGTTTTTCTCTTCTTAATTTGCCTACATAACTTCCTCAACAATTCATCTGGTCCTCTCTTAGTACATACATTTTGATTAGTAATTGTATTTTTTTCCTTTTATGCATTTCATAGTATCCTCAGTTCTTATAAGTAGTATTATCTCAATCTTCCATTTCTGTGCAACCAACAGCCCTAACTGCATGAGTCAGAAGAACAGAGTATTCGACATGACTCACAATCTGGGCAGGTCTCATCTGGACTGGGTAATAGAGTCTGCAGCTGAAACATCCAATATGGCTGGGGCTATCAGGAACTCTCTTTCCACAGGGTAATTTTCCAGCAGGGTAACTAATTCTCCACGTGAGGTTCAGGACTTCTGTTGGTCCATATATATATATATATATTTTTTTTTTTTTGGTTATTTTAACAAAATACTGGAGGTTGGACACTTTATTTTGAAAAAAGGTTTATCAGTTTTCAGTTTGAGAGATTCAAGGGTGTGGCATTGCTTCTGCTCAGCTCTGGTAAGGGCTTTCTGGCTCCACCACACCAATGGTGGGAGCACATGGAGAGGGAGAGATCATATGGGGAGACAGGAAGCCAGAAGTATTCAGCAGCCTGGCTTGCTCCTTATTACAGCTTGCTCTCACAGGCACTAACTCACTCTGGAAGACCAAGGTTGAAACCCCAATGACCTAATTACCTTGCACTAGGCCCCACCTCTTAAAGGTTCCACCACCTCCCAACATCATCACATTGAGGACCAAGCTTCCAACACACGAACCTTATCCAAATCAGAGCAGTCTAGGTCACTGTGAGGACTGTGGATTTTAATTCTACAAGATGAGAAAACATTGGTGTGACTGTCGTATAGAATCTATGATCAAACATACTCTGCTGCTGCATATAGACATAGCAAAAGGGGATCAAGAGAGGAAACAGGAGACAGGACAGATCTGATGGCTGAGACTTGAATGTGGTTCCCACTATTCAGGGTGGCTGGATTCTGGAACTGTTTGCAAAATAGAGAAGTGTCAAGGGCAACTCCTATTTGGGGAGGAAGCAACCCAGCAAATGGGGATGCTGTTCATAGACTGAGAGGCAAGGGAAAGTTGTATTAGTCAGTGTTCTGCCACTATAACAAATACCCGAGTTAAGCAACCTATGAAAAATAAGAAAGGTTTATTTTGTCTTACAGTTTTGGGGATTTTGGTTCATGGTCAGGTGGCCTGATTGCTTAGGGCCTGTAGCAAAGTGGCACATCATGGTGCATATTAGAGCAGATGGTTCATCTCAAGGCTGAGACAAGAGAGAAAGAGAAAGAAACTGGCATCTTATAATCCCCTTTGAAGGCACACCCTATGGGCCAAAACTTCCCATGAGGCCCCATTCCTGAGTTCCCACCAACTCCCAATAGTGACACCCTGGAGATCAAGATTTTAACACATGTGCCTTTGGGGGACATTGAGGGTCCAAACCATAGCAACAGTGAACATCGAGTCTGGTTTGGCAACTGTAGTTTTAGAGACTCTTCGGTCACCATGCAGAGCTGTGGGCTGGGTGGCAAGGTGTCCTCTGAAGCATACATTTGGAATCCTCTGGTCCAGAGAGAAGAGAATGCCCAAGAATATGTCCTCATAGGGAATAGCAGTGGGCATAGGGGATGGGGCATTTCAGTGTCATCCTAATGAGCCCAAAAAGTGGGCTCTGAAGAGGCCTGACCCTACCCTTTGTCAAGAGGACCACTTGTCCAGAGTCAGGGCCCCTTATCTGATGGTCCATCCCAGTAGGACCCAGACCTTTCTTAAAGCTACACCAAGACAGCTTCCCCACAAATAGCATTTATTAAAACTTGGGTTCTTCCTACAAGGGTTTGCCCAGGTAAAGGTGAGAGTTCTTGTCCATTTTTCACATCAGACTGGTAATGTGTTCACACTGTAACAAGGTTTGAGGGAAGCAAATCTCACACAATGGCATGAAAACATCCATTGTACATAAGAACAGCCGAAGGATCATGCTTTTCTTTGTTAACTTACGTCAAGTAACACTGGGATTTGGGAATGGCAAATTACAATATTTTATCATTTGGAACTCCAGAAAGGAAGGTCCAAGATGTTTTGCAAGATAAAGTATGACATCCTGAGATTCCACAAACTTTAGGCTAAAAATTGAACAGCTAAAAATTGAAAAGCTCAGCAGGCTTTTGACTGGCATTTTATGGGCTACAGTTGAGCAATGCTTTACTACGTTTTGCATGTCACCTTATTTAATATGGGAAAATTACCCTGAGGTAAAGTAGCTACTACTCTCCTCCACATTTTACAGGTGATAAAATGGAGTCAAAGGGAGAGGTTCCCTAACTGTCCCCATTTACCATATTTTGAAGTTGTCAGAATTAAAATAGAGCCTCCTGGGTCAAGCTTGAACAAAAAATAAATTAACCTCCCTTTACCAGGGAGGTGGTAAAGGAGGTAATGTCACCTACATGTGCCTGATGACAATAACTGTTACAAGAGACTGCCAGAACCATCCCCTTGCACAAAGCCATCACAACCTTGCACACAAAACACTTCTGCAAGAACTGTCCAAAGAATGCCCACTCAACCTCAGGTGACGCCACTCCTAGGATTCTTGATGAATATTGGCTTATTCATGCAATATTGATATTCTTCAAGCAATCTTCCTGGGGATGGAACCCAGAGGGCTTTTACCACTGAATCATATTCCCATTCCTTTTTATTTTTATTTTTTATTAGGAGACTGAGTCTTAGTTACTAAGAGTCTCAACTAAGTGGCTGAGGTTGGCCTTGAACTTGCAATCCTCCTGTCTCTGGGATTACAGGCACGCACCACCATGCTTTTATTATACACATGGTTTATTAGCACGTGCATGTTCTCATTGCAATGTTTTCCCAGAATGAACTTCATCTTTGGAGAATCCCTCTCTGCTTGTTACTGCACTGGCTAAGTAGGAGAGCTGAAAGACTGGGTTGCAAGCCCACCTCTTATCTCTTAGCCAGGGTGGCATCTGTGCCTTGTGAAAGAGCTTTCAGACTCGGGGTGGGTGATGTAGCCTGCTTCTTCCACACTAAAATACTGCAAAATCAGTATCAAAATCGGCAGGCAATATCAAAAGTCATTCCAACTCACCCACAAACAATTCAGAGGATATAAATAATAAATTCAGACTTTGACACAAATTTGGGAGGTGACATGGGGCACTCCTAGGCCACAAACAGTGATGTACTGGATTGTGTGCCAGATCATGGCTGATATTTTTTGTGCCTCTAATTGCAAGAATCTGGGAGTGCTGAGCCTGTGGAGGAGATCACGTTTGCAGGGTGGGCAGAGTGAGCACACAAACCCAGAGGTCTCCTCTCCTCCTGACTGGCACTCAGGCTTGTGAGTGAGCGAGGCATGTGGAACTGTTCACCATCACAAAGTGTCCTTCAGATGTGCCAACAGGTGAACAACACAACTCACACTTCCCCTGCAGGACAGCCGGGTGTGTGCAAGGCTCCTTCATCAGAGAGGTCACCCTTGCACTGGGAGCACCAATGGAATTGCAATGCAAGCCTCCTTCATTGATTGCACACTGCTACAGATCCAGCTCTGCTGGAGAAAATGGACAAAATGTGTCTGGAAAGGACCCTAAAGTCATTACAGCATTGTTTTCCCCTGGAACTGAATTTCACGGAAACTTCCAAAACAAATCACCTATTTGAAAAATAAATACCACAAAAGAAATAAAATCGTGTGTGTGTGTGTGTGTGTGCGCGCGTGCACGTGTGCACAAATTTTCTGGTGAAATTCACTGGAAGAGATTAATTCTTCATGTTAAGTAGATTTCCCAAAGCGATCCTAGGTGTTACATAAACAAATTTACATCCTAAGAACTATGTATTTATTTTAGAGTATATAACAAAAAATAAAATTAGTACATCCAACCTATGACATCAGGGGTGACCTAAAGTTTTCTTTATGAGTCTACATAAAAAGAATCAATTTCAGGTTAAAATGTTGGACAAATAAGGTTAAAGTGGAATGTTTTCATGGAAACGCTGGGAGCCATGGAACATCGGGAGGAAAGTGAAGCAGAGGTACGTGAGGCCTGAGTACAGGAGTTCCAGAAAGTTCCATGTAGCAGGAGGCATCTCACTCTGTGTGGAGTTTATCCAGTTTGAATGAATTATCATGAATCAGTCCAATGTCTATTAAATATCCATTTGGAGGTTGGAGGGGAAATTCATACTAAAAACTATTTGGATACATTTTTAATCCTCACGATGTCATTTAAACTCATTGGGGTGGACTTTTCTCCCTCCTCCATCCCCTGAGGAGGAGCCCCTGAACGGTCCACCTTCAGCACGTCTTGGGGAAACAGTGGCAACTTCCGAGCCCAGCCAGGGTTCCGGAAGAGGGCTCTGTGTTTGGTAAGTAATGTCTGAGTCCATTATCTGTTTCACTTTCCATGGTTTTAGTTATAAATGATCAATTATAGCCCCAAAATATTAAATGGGAAATTCCAGAAAGCAATTCACCAGTCTTAAAATGATGTGCCATTCTGAGTAGATGTTCTGATGAACTCTCACACTGTCCCATTCCTTCCCATCTGGGATGTGCAGGATTTTGTCACATGGCAGGAAAGGATGCGTACGGTAGCCACGTTCTTCCCCCACCCGAGGCGGAGCGCTTTGTGTGCATAATCATAAAACAACCTCTTTATTGATCTGTTTCATGCACCAAGAACCAAAACGACTTGGACAAAACAACTGTCCACCCTGCCCCCCACAATCAGGGCAGTGATGACTTTCTCCCCCTCTGGATCCTGTTAAGTTAAATAATTTTGTAAAAAGCCGAATGTCAGAATCATACACCTGGAGGAACACGAGTGGGTTTGATCCTGGGGAGCGGGGCTCTGCCTCCGGCTGAGGCACCCCTGGGCAGGAGCACTCCCCGTGCAGGTTCTGGAGATGGTATGGGCTACCCGCTGGCCTGGGGCCAAGCCGAGCATGAGCAGTCCCACGTACACAGCTGGGCGACAGCCAGGTTGGCTGGCTGTCACCACCACAGACAATACCAAGAGGGTGTGTGTTTGTTTAAAGGGGCCACACTCTCCGCTCTCACCCCACTCCACGAAGCATCAGCACTTTCTCGGGACACGCTCTCTCTGCCACCTACCAAAGGGGTGCATGGTCCCCAGGCTCCGGAGACCTGACCCCACACACGGCTCTTCCTTTGTGTCTCATGGCTACTCCTCAGGCTTCTTAATTTATTGTCTTCAGATCACACTCTACAGATTTCGGAATTTGCTTTTCATAATTCAATCTCATTTTCCATATTTTTTCTTTAATCCATATTTCAAGCCAATCATGATTGAGTCAGGTATAGAAAAAGTCATGGAAGAAAGAGGCCCACGTGCCACACTTTCTCCTGTGTGTGTCACGCAGAGGGCAGGTGCTGCGTCCTGGGCCACGGAGGTCAGAAGGCCACACTCTTTCCCGTCTCCCATTCCCTTAGCGAGATGGCTCCCTCCCTTTCCGGCCCTGTATACATCCCTGGAATGGAGCCACCACTACCCCTGGGAGCTGCTCTTCTATTCTTACAGAACCACAAGGGGAGGGCCGACAGGGTGAGCAGGAGGCGAGGAGGAACTTCTGGTCCCAGCAGCCACACCTGTCCTACCTGGAGCACCTGGCCATGACTTCTGAGTGCACAGCCTCACCATGTGTCCGCTGTCCTCTACTCTGTTCTAGTCTCTGTCGCAGCATACTGTAACAAGGCCTATAAGCAACAGAAATTTATTTCTCATAGTCGTGGAGGCTGAAAATCCAAGACTGATGTTTGGTGAGGACCCACTTTCTGATCCACAGGTGGCATCTTCTCTCTGTGTCCTCACCTGGAAGAAGAGTGGGTGGATGGTTCTTGGGCTTTTTTCCTTTTTCCCAGGGGTGCTTTACCACTGAGCTGCACCCCCAACTCATTTGATGTCTTATTTTGAGACAGGGTCTCACTAAGTGGCTTAGGGTCTCTCCACATTGCTGAGGTTGGCATCGAACTTGTGATCCTCCTGCCTCAGCCCCCACCACACCACTGGAATTAGAGGCATGCACCACTGCGCTTGGCCTTGGGCCTTTCTTTAAAGGAAATAAAGAAATGATTCCACTCATGAGGGGTCTGCCCCATGGCCTAGTCACCTCCTGAGGCCCCATTCTCTAACACCTTGCAGGAGAGGATTTCATCATATGAATTTGGGGACATCACAGTCAGATCACAGGCAGCAACTATGTGAGAACAGAGCAGCTGCCCCAAGCAGCCCCAGGAGCAGAACCCTGTTCTGATGCTGGTGTCTCACCATCCTGCCGTGTGGTTCTTTTGCGGGGAGGATAAGGTTAGGAGCCCCGTGTGGACGTCTCATCTCCTCTTTGTGTGTTAGTGGTTGTACCCAGGGTCACAATTGTGCTGTTTTCACAGACAATAATATTTGCCCCCCCCCCCCCCCCCTTAAACATGTGGCCCTGGGAAGGGCCATTCTGAGAGGGTAGAAGGACTTTGGTAGAAGGGAAACAGGCCCTTTGGCCTGGGGTGGGTCCCTCCTTCCTTGGGCTGCCCCTTCCCCACAGGGTCTCTGTGGGGAAAGCTGGGACACCCATGCCTACTTAAGATTCTTTTGGGCTGGGGGTGTGGCTCTGTGGTAGAGTACATGCTTGGTGTGCACCAGGCCCCGGGCTCCACCCCTGGCATTGCATAAACAATCCTTTCCGAGGCCACTGAGGGTGTGTTCCTCCACCCCCAGCTAAGAAACCTTGCACCCCTTTCAGCGATCACAGCTCTTCAGGTTTTCATATCATCACTACAGACATCAGTACATTTCTCTTACTTGTTTTCCCATGAAAGGCACACGTAGCAGCTCCCAGAATGAGCACAGAATGCACACACCCTCCAAGTGTGCGACAGAGAAGGAATTGACTTTCTTTGGAGAAAGACACTTAGGTGAATTTTCCAATGGAAAC